AATTGAATTATTAACAATTTACAAATTGAATTATTAACAAATTACAAATTGAATTATTAACAATTTACAAATTGAATTATTTACAATTTACAAATTGAATTATTAACAATTAACAAATTGAATTATTAACAATTTACAAATTGAATTATTAACAATTTACAAATTGAAATATTAACAACTTACAAATTGAATTATTAGCTATTTACAAATTGAATTATCAACAATTTACAAATTGAATTATTAACAATTTACAAATTGAATTATTAACAATTTACAAATTGAATTATTAACTATTTACAAATTAAATTATTAACAATTTACAAATTGAATTATTAAAAAGTTACAAATTGATGATTTTTGGAATTTAAAAATTGATGATTTAAACACATATTTAGATTTTTAAATTAACAATTGTCCTGTTTTAAATCTTATATAAGATGTAGCAAAATAATTGTTTGAGTTTAAAAAATAGAAAATTGTAAACACACACTCCAAAAAAATTGCTATGTGGCTCTCTGAAAAGGAATGACGAGTAATGACGGATAAAAAATCCTCATCAGGACCACTAATTTGGTAAAGACTAAAAATCAAATATTTGTACTTGGCTGCAAATATGGAGTCATTACGGGAAAATGCACTAATAATAGAATTTGTGTAAACGGATATAAGGATCATGATCGAATCGTGAACTGTTACATCAGTCGAGAGCAGTCGAGGGAAGGGTGATTTATTTCCGTTCAAGAGACCATAATTCCACCACTCTAACGTGGCCATAAAAATGTCACCGACTCATTGAGAGGCTGATAAGAATTTTGAGCGATTTTTACCATCGTCCTGTATTTGTTTAATATCAATAATACAGGTCATTAAAAATATTAGATCGAACAGTCCGTAGCCAGACGTGATTGTTCGCCACGTAATATATCTGGAGGGGCAAGAAATATATCCAGAGAGGCACGTAATATATTCGGAGGGGCAAGTAATATTCCAGAGGGGCACGTAATATATCCAGAGGGGCAAGTAATATTCCAGAGGGGCAAGTAATATATCCAGAGGGGCAAGTAATATATCTCGAGGAGCAAGTAATATAATATCCAGAGGGGCAAGTAATATATCCAGAGGGGCAAGTAATATATCCAGAGGGGCAAGTAGTATATTCGGAGGGGAAAGTAATATATCTGTAGGGGCAATGGTGTATGGTGTTTAATTGCAGTAATGTAATTGGTTGGACAAACCATCGAATAAGTCGACTAAACACTTGCCAATGGTCCAGGCATAAAACACAGTAGTTTTTTTTAACTATTGTGAGGTTGATATTCCATATCTCTTAAAAGATATCGATACTTTTTGATTTATTCTGACAATAGTTTTTTTTGTAATTATACACGAAACAACCCTTTCAAGTTATCAACAAACAGACCCTCACTCATTTTTACTCGGTTAATAATTTAGGGGTTAATTCTCACACCCAGGGTTAATCTTTTGACGGTTAAAGTGTTAATGATGTCCAATTAATTAGAAGGGAGATAACTGTCGATAATCAAGTTCGCAAGAAATTAACATTTGTTTATCAATAATATGTATATGAATCCTAAACGAGATTAAAGGGACAGTTTCGCCATCCATTTGACCAATCATACCTTAATCTCAGAAACGGGAATATTTTAGCTAAGCTAATACTGTTCACAGATCACCGTCGAAATTTGAGCCTTCAAAGTGTCCAGAATTTTACGTGTTTGAATGTTAAAATGACGACTCGTTATTTCTTGAGTCACTTCCATATATGGACTAGAAAGTAGAAGGAATTCTAAGGTTTTAGTATAATTCTAGTAGTTCTGAAGACTATTTACATAATTTCAAGACTCCAATAAACCTCCAAAAATAGCAAACCGATACCTTTCAGTTGGGGAAGCGAAAATGAGGGGTAGGGGAGAAATATTAAATATTAATGTTCGAGAAGGAGGGGAAGGAGGTTGGGGTAGCGTAGAAAAGACTGTTCTGTAGGCTAATTTTTTTAGAATTAAAACAATTTGTGTTGTTCGGTGTGACAGAATTATCAGTTTTATTGTAGTCTGAAGTCTGAATAATTTAAAATGAATTATCGTTTAATATTAATTTATGAACAATTAACCTATTTGT